TTTAGCGGTTAGATATGTAAATACATAGGAATAGAATGTTTTGTATGTAAATTCCCCATAAATTTTTTTTATTATTCCCTTGGATTATTTCTTAATAAACTTAAAAAATACTTCATGATTAAACACTGTGCAGGACAAACACAGTGCATTATATGCTTCATGGATGTCATCATAAGCACCCAATGGATGGTCTGCGCCTTGTTTTCCCCCCTGCCGCAACTGCTATTCTATGCGTTCCAGTTAAGTGGTCTATTGCACCTACCAATAATGTGAAATATAACAGGAATATATAGGCTCCGATTAACTTATTTTTCTACTTGTTGATATTAATAAAATTTGTGAACTAAATTGACATTTTTATAGAACCTGTGACTAAAATAACCCATCTGCAAAAAGTCAGGGGCCATTTTGACATTTTTCTTAAATAATTTTGTTGCAGTTTTGGGGTTTAATTAGGCTTATGTCAACCCCTGCTGCCACTCCTGCTATATTCTCCGGTAGCTTACTCGGATATGTGATTTATGATTGCACCCATTACTATCTCCACCATGGATCACCTTCCAACCTACCAGTTAAAAATCTCAAGGTATGAACTGCAAACAACTCTCCTTCTGGTTCCAGTCATGAACAAATTTCCATTTTTTTTTAAATTAATTAATTAATTTATTTTCTTCTCCTTCTCCTTCTCCTTTTAATCAGCGTTATCATCTTAATCATCACTTCAGAATTCAGACCAAAGGGTTTGGGATCACATCTTCATTGTGGGATGTTGTGCTGGGAACATTGCCACCACCACTGAAAATTCAGAAGAGTGGCTGATTCTCTTTACTTAAAGGTTGGGATAATTGTTCTTGATTGAACCTGATTCATCTAATTTATTTACTTTTGATTTAATATTTTTTTTGACCATATGTTATGATCGATTTATACAATATGTTTGTCTTGATTCTAATGTGTTGAGGTGAAGATTACATGTGTTAATTTCTTTGTTGGATTATGCATTGCAGCTTGGCTCTACATCTTTGAGTTTGATTTTGGTCAATGTCCATACTTGCACTAGAAGGATTTTCATTTTTGGGATGCAAGTCAGTGTGCCAAAATAGACTATAAAAAAATTGACACTGGCTGCCACGTGGCACCAATAAAAGAGCATTGACAAACATATCATAGAATTCTTATGCATACTACTTGAATATTTAACATCATCATCATCATGTTTTTTAATAGTAAAGTATATATTTTCACGTGTAAATTTATGATATCAAAATATTATAAATGTCAATATTAAACTTTGGGTCATAGATATGTGAATATATAAGAATCGTGTGGTATGTATGTAATACTTTCTTTATTTGATAAGGAAATAATTACTAATGGCTAGTCTAGAAGATACCATTGAGGCTGATTCAGCGTTAACCCAACCTCAATGCGCTCTTAATTATTAAGATAATAAATAATAATAATAAATTCACAATTTTAATTCTAAGGATTTATTTGGGGCGGTTGCAACTTATTCAGCTTATCCTGATAATCTATTGATCAGCAGCTTATCCGAATAAGCTGACTAGCTTTTTGGTTTGTGCATTTCGAAAATAGTTCATTCTAGATAAATTACCATTCTACCCCTATTCTGGATAAGCTGTTTAGCTGTTTTGTTTATGTGTTTGGAAAACAACTGATTTGCAGCTTTTTGAGGATAAAAGTTCATTCTGACAGGCGCAGTATAGCTGTTACACTAAAATTTTAATGGCTACATATTTAATAGTTCGGAACAAAAAATATCATTTTATAATTATGATAATTTCAGTAATCTTATTTAATTATAAAAAATAAGTCAACTTTGTTCTTAAAAAAATCCAGAGGAAAGGAGGCATACAAAAATGTCTTGGGGCATTTACATACATACCAGACAAATCTTAGTTATTTACATATCTAACGGCTACACATTTAACCGTTCAGAGAATATTTCATCAACATAGAGAATCTTTTTTTAGCACCCTAACATGGATCTTTTCTAGCCAATTTAAGTCCATATGCTAAGTTAATTTGTGGTCCAATGTCTTGAAGATAGAAAAAAAATTACCATCATTAATTCATTAAAAAAACAACATAAAACCCTTATGTACATAAAACATGTTTCAGTTTGGCGCCGTGAAGAAATTCTAGCTGAGAATTCTCAAAGAAAGTTTCATTCATCTTAATTTAACTTTAACATTCACTCAAGCAATTAACAAAATCTCAAAAAAAAAAAAAAAAAAAAAAAAAAAAGCTTTGAGCACGGGAAACCAATCAAGGGGGGAACGGTAGAGAGGAGTAGGCGAGCACAAAATCGATCTAAGCGAGGCAATTCACAAGGGAATAATCGCAGGAGAACGAGGGTAGTATTGCGATCGAGAGAGAATCGCGGGACGCGGGGTCGTATCCACGCTCGACGTTTAATACAATTTAAAAACGCCGTTTCCTGAAACTCACGCAAAAAACTCGAAACACTCGAAACAAACACCTCCCCGACATTTTGAAAACTCACAAGCGACAAATAAACTGCCCCAAATGAACCATAAATCACCTTCTTCGCTCTTTATCAAATTCTTCCTAAGCCCACCCGTAAGCTCATTTG